GTGCAGTGCAGTGACACTGGGATGGATGAGGCCAGAAGTTGCTTTGGGCTGTTGATCACAGTTTCATGGTCTGGGGAGTTTTCCATGTCCATGCAGCCAATTCTGATAGTTAAAACACATGAGCAGCTGTCAGCTCTCAGTGCCTGCTTTATAGAGCATCCCAGGGAGGTGACTGCTGCCCACTGGAAGCCCTCAGCTACAGCAATGGCTCATCCCTAACTGGGAAAGTCACTTCCAGCACCCCCACCATGGTGAGTGTGCCTGGCTCTCCTGATTAATTGCAGGTTACAGTGCTTGATAATCCCAGCACAAGCCAGTGCAGGTACCTGGATACCCTGAGAATCTGTCTGCTCTGTGGTCTAGGATACAGGTTTGTGTTGCTTAACTCAGTAATTGGTGGCTTGATGGAGGCAACTTAGTGATTAAAAACATCAGTCATTAATAGATAAAGTAGGGATGCACTTTCCAATGTCCCAGACTGCTGTATTCATAAAATAGCTGCTAATTAAGGACACTGTATTCCTGCACTTCAACTATAAAGCACAGTTTGTGATGGCAGTAAGCCCATTGAAATTGGTCATTACCATATTAGCCCGACTCTTCTTTGAACCATTAACTAATAAAACAGTCATTGGCTGCTTTTAAATGATATTACAATGTTGGTGTGTTTAACAGCACAACCTTACACTCCAACAGCTGCTGTGGGTGCTGCATTACCACACCATGCCAGGCTCAGGGCTGGGGCTGTCCTTTCAGCATCTGCTGGTTGTTCCTTTGTTGTGGCCACTGTCACAGGTAACCTGAGCAGAGCTGATGTCCAAAGGACAGCCCGTGGGGCTCCTGGCAGGGGGATGCTCACCTGTGTTAGGCTTCATCAGCCTTGTAGTAGTCAGGGGGATGTTTTCCCAGCTGAGAGCCTATTTGTGGGGTAGGACAGTGGGGGGTTGTGCCCAGTAGTGCTGTGCACATCAGGGGAAAGCTTTGCTGGACTATTCCCACCTTTTTCTTCACCACGTGCTGGACTACAGTCCGGGCTCTCTGCTCCTCCATCCACAGTTCCTTGTATCTGTGTTGTATGAGGTCAAAAAATGGAGTGGAAGGCCTGGAAAACATTGAAAAGGCACCAATGTAATCTTTGCCTCCTTGTGCTGGCTCGCATCTCTGCTCCTCAAAAGTGACTGGTGAGAACATGAATAAAGCCTCACGCTGGGAAAGGCTTTCTCCTCCTCAGGAAGCCTCAAACCCACAATCATTTGCAGTGAGCCCACCACAGCCTGCACACACCTGTGCTAAGCTGTGCCAGGGCATTCCCCAGAACTGGGACAATTGTACAACCTTTTTCAGGGCAGCTTTCAGCAGCTCTGTGTGAGCCCTGGTGTGATGGAAGGAGCACGGGGCACCACAGGATGCAGCTCATCTTTGGGCCCTGCTGGAGCTTCAGGTGAGCATTTCCCAGCTGGTCCCCAGTGGAGCAGCTCTGGCTGGATTCCCTCCAGGGGAAGAACCCCTGGGTGCCAAGTGTGTTTTGCTAAAATAGCACTGCTCTGGCTGTTAAAATCTCTGGTGTGGTGCACCAAAGGCTGCAAATGTGCAATGATGGATGGGGTGAGAGGAGGAAGTGCTGTCCTAAGCAGCCTGAATAGGGCTAAAAATGGACCCAATGCAGAGGTCAGGGGTCTGCAGCAGAAAGGGGAGCTGAAATGCTGAGCCCTGGTCTGGTGCCTCAGCTGCACGGAGCAGGTGTATTTGCCCCTTGAAAGAGGATTTCAGGAGCAAGGAGGAGACAGCGGAGGGGAGGAGCTGCACATGACCCAGGCTCTAGAAAAAGACTAAAAAGGCAGTTGCTTGTTGGCCAGTGTCCCATTCAGCTGCTCTGAGGTGCCATTAACCTGACCAGCTTGTGGCAAAGCTGTAGCCTGAAATTGTTGAGTCTTGCTCCTCGCAAGTGAGGATACTTCATCAGCCACCGAGGGAAGCAGACCTGGCAGTGGCAGGGACAGCAAATCAGTAATTCCCATAATTCTGCTGCTATTCCTTTCCCCCAGAAGCAAACACTTGAAGGTGATGAAGGACCTCAAGCTGAAGTTTTATTGGTCCTTGTCCTTGCACACCTAGCTAAGGAGGGACTTTTCCCATCTTGGCAGCAGCTGATGACTGTGGAGCTCTCACCTCTAGCTCTGCTCCCACCTGTAGCCTGCAGAGCCCTCAGCTGCAGCTCCCACAGCAGATCCAGCACTGTTCCTGTCCCCCTGAAGGACACTGGGGACTTGGGGTAGCTGCTGGGCTGCTTCTGGGCCACCAGCTCCACCTGTTTCTGCAGAGAGCCCACATGCCACAGAGTGAGCTGGTGCTTCATGGCTTGTGGCAGGAGTGGGTCCAGAATTGACAGCTGCCAGCTTTTAGCAGCCTGGAGAATCCTTGATGATCACCCAGGACGCCAGCAGCCTGTATGCAAATAGTAACTCTTCTGTTTCTTGTTCCTTCACCCCCGTGGTGACTTTTATTACTTAATTATTGCACACCACATGCTTCAAAACAGCCTAATCTATGGTTGTGTTTTCTAATGATGCTGGATGTGCAATCCAGCAATATCCATCCCAAGGGGACATTCATATCAGAGGAGACATCCTTCTGCAGGCCTCCTGTTTCATAGATCACATGCTGCAGGGCTTTTCAAGCCTTTGCTTGCAAATCAGCCCTGCTGCTCCAGACCATTATCTGGAGACACCCAGTGCCAAAGGCAACGCTGACATTTACCCTTTGTCCCCTCTTCTTTCCCCTCCTTCCCTTCCAGTTTGGCATTTCATGCTGATCAGAGCTGGGTGAAATATTTAAAAGGTTAAAAGATGTGGCAAACCAGTGGTAAAGTGTGTTATTATCTGTTTGGGTCTCCAGTTTTGTAGTGTGGTGTAAAAGTTGGTATTCCTGACACAAGCACATGGTGAGCATTGCTTGTTTGCTGCTGTCCCTTTGCTCTCCAAGGCAGGAGCTTTCCTGGTGTGCAGGGAGGGACACAGGGAAGCACTAAGCCTTTGTGTGTAGCCTTTGATTATTGATTTTTGGGGTTTTTTTTCTGAAGTTAAATGTGTTTCCCCATCTCTATGGAGGTGACTTTTACCATCTCCAGTGGACCAGGCAGTTGGTGACTGATAGTCCACAGCTGGCTTGTAAGTAAATGCTTGAAAGGACACATTTGGGTTGATGCTCTTCAGAGATCCTTCCCTGCCGTGTGATTAATCACATTTAAGTCCTGATCCAGCAAAGTACAGAATCATGCCTGGAATGATGCACGCATGAACTGCCTCTCTCACATCGGTGGGAAGGACTTGTGTGCTTGGTTATATATAAGCCCTGGTAGGATGTGAGGCTTCCCCTGGCTTTTCCTCCTTTGAGAGAAGCCCTGAGGAAGTGGGGAAGAGCAAGGGACAGCAGGGAACACCTCTTTGAGGTGACTGGAGAGATCTCAGCGAGGTGGATTTTCCTTTGTAGGTCAAAGGCTGATCTCAGCAGAGGGACGGGGAATTTGGCCCCGGTACTGGTGCTGCTTGGCAATGTGACAGCCCTTACTTGCAGCTGGCCTTTGGGAAAATGTCCTTTTGCCTTAGTGTTACTTAAGGACAGGGATCAATGGCTTGTGTGTTCCTTTTCCTTTTGTCACCCTGCCCAGATGTCGCTCCTGAACAGGGAGGATTTTGCTGTCTGCAGATGCTGCGGGGAGAGCAGGGGAAGCATCCTCTGGAAATGCTTATTGCACATTAAAACCCGTCTCATTCACAGTTACTCAGATCTCCTTGTTTTGGCACAAGCACCCTGCCACAGAAAGGAAAGGCAAAGAAGTTCTGATAGGATGTAACAAATTATTTATAATTGTAGGGGAAAGAATACTCATCTGCTTCCTTTTATAGTCAAATAGTTGGAGCTACTTCTAATGCTGACATTTCCTAAATATTTTAAAATTTATCTGTGCACATTTTCAAAACTATTATCTCTGAAACAGTTCCTGTCTCTTTAATAGAATCTCTCTAATTTACTTTCACGAGTCAGGGTACAGACCTATTTTCAACTGAAATGACAAGCACCTGCTAACTTGGTTATACAATGTGGAATTCTAGTCTGCCAGACATCTCCTGGAAAAGAAGCTGCAGCCTCCTAATAGGCTATTTTACTGTGAAAACAGTGTTAAAAAGTATAATAAAGTATTAACAATATTAAAATAAAACAGTGTAGGCCTTAAATGAGCTACAAACTAGTTAAATCTATTCCATTCAATATGAGCCCTTCAGTGCTTTGCAGCTGATACCTCAGAGCTGGGATTTATCTAAAATGAAGGCACCAGGGACATGCAAGAGAAATGGTAATTATAATTTGCAAACATTAGGCTGACACTTTTTTGTGTATGTGTGTATAAATCCTGACAGCTGTGATTTGTGCTGATGCCAAATAGTGCTCCAGCGTGCAGGGAAGGGCTCACTTTGTGGCAGGCTGTCCTCAGAGCAGCAGCTCATTAAAACTTTGGAGAAGGAGAAGTTGCCGAAAACAGGAAGGCGTCAGAACCATCTGAGAGATTTTTGGTACACGCTTGTTGAAAGGCGTTTGAGAAGAGAGCCTTGGGTCTGACAAACTGGAATTTTAGTACGCCTTCCCGTCCACAGTGGGGCAAAATAATTGGTCATCAGTGACTACTAATTTGGTTTAGTAGCCAGAGGCATTTTTTTTCTTCCCAGAAAATCAATGACAGTGCCGAGGTCTGTTCAACGTGATTCAGCTCAAGATGGGTCCTCATTTAGCTCTTGATGCTTCTTCCACTGGAGACAGCTATTTTGTTAAAATGAAATTAAAATCTATCTATAATACTCAGCTCAGGGAGCCGCGCCCGTCAATGCCATGCTGCTCTTGAGGTTTCAAGGTTGTCAGTCTCCCCTCAAACTTATTTTCAAAGGTTTCTATATCAGCTGCAAAAAAAGGTGCTTGGCTAAAGTGGATGCAAAGGACTTTGCTCAGGAAGGGGGTTTACACCAGCTTGTAAGGTGCAATCAATTTGATTGCTAAGTTCTGTTGCAAAAGGGTAAAAACTTGACTTGCGAGTGCTTTTTTTTCCCCCTTTTTGAATTGTATAATTCAAAAGCACGTAAATATTTCAGTGCAGAGCTCAGCCCGTGGGGTTTGTGTGTGGCTCTGCAGCCAGGGCAGTGCTTTTCCTGCTGCTGGAGCAGGGAGGATGGGTGCAGGCAGTGGCTCCTGGGGCTCTGCCCAGACCACTGCTCCAATCCCAGTGGCAGCTTCCAGGCAGCAGGATCTGGTCCTGCATGGCTGCTTATACAACAGATCCATCACAGAAGGGAATTTGTCCATGCCTGTGACATTAAAATTGTGTTGCTGCACCACTGCCTATGCTGAAACTTTAACCCTTCCTTGGAAGGTTAATGAGGTTATAGGGGGGTTTAGTTCTTGTTGCTGTCCTTCCACCTAAGATGTGCTTTTTCTGCACAGTCAGGATCTGTCTTTGGGGCCTTCAGTCCCCAGGGAGATAGCTACAGGGGCACCACTTTTATATTCTTTCCTTGTGTCTTCATGCTGGGAAGGATTTGTCCTGTGATAGAAGAAGTGTCCATATAGACTCTCCCAGCAGAACCAGTTCCCACCAGCTCAGGTTGATTTCCTACAGAACCATTAGGGTTGGAAAAGACCTTCAAGATCGAGTCCAACCTGTTTCTTACTGGGGAACAGTTTAGTTTCCAGCACCTCTGGACTGTGGGGCGGTATTAACTTCAAATAAAGCTCAAGCTGGGGTCTATGATTTTGTTTGGGGCTGTGGGGTACCCCCAGTGTTGGCAGCAGCGAGGTATCAGCGCTCAGGTCCCTCTGCCCTAAAAGGGGGCTGAGAGCAGAGGGAAATTCAGGTTATGGCTCCCTTGCAGTGCTCTATTGCCTCCTACCCCCCTGGTAACTGATGGGCTGCAGGTAGCAATCTATCTCCCATTAATTCATCTCTGTGTAGCCCAGCAGGAAGCTGGGGTATGATTACAGCTCTGGCTCTTGTGCGAGAGCCGGCACAGCCCCGGCATCCCCCTGCAAACTGCGGGCTCTGCCTCGCCTTAATTG